TCCGGATCGGGCCTAAGCATCAAGTGGGCCTACGCCGCCGAATAAACGTTCAAGATCCTCTCGGAAAGGCATATATGCGTATGCGCGTCATAAACAAACGGGTGCGATCATACCAGCACTAATGCACCGGATCCCATCAGAACTCCGCAGTTAAGCGTGCTTGGGCGAGAGTAGTACTAGGATGGGTGACCTCCCGGGAAGTCCTCGTGTTGCACCCCTTTTTTTGTTAATTTTTTTCTGTATTTCTATCTGAAACTTCCAAAATGCGTAGCTGGAAGACCGTGAGGCCGTATGCTGCCACCAACCACTTTTCGTGAAGCTCCAAAAGAGCTCTAGGCGTAAAATATCGTTTGGACCCCAAAAAATGGCGTTTGGACGCTTTTCCGGGCCGTTTTCTGGTGCGGACACAAATCAATGAATCGAAAGTGCTATGCATAGTGTTTTTTGGATGCATCCATCCTCCCTCTCACATAAGGGTCACTTAGGACTCCGGATCGGGCCTAAGCATCAAGTGGGGCCTACGCCGCCGAATAAACGTTCAAGATCCTCTCGGAAAGGCATATATGCGTTTGCGCGTCATAAACAAACGGGTGCGATCATACCAGCACTAATGCACCGGATCCCATCAGAACTCCGCAGTAAGCGTGCTTGGGCGAGAGTAGTACTAGGATGGGTGACCTCCCGGGAAGTCCTCGTGTTGCACCCCTTTTTTTGTTAATTTTTTTCTGTATTTCTATCTGAAACTTCCAAAATGCGTAGCTGGAAGACCGTGAGGCCGTATGCTGCCACCAACCACTTTTCGTGAAGCTCCAAAAGAGCTCTAGGCGTAAAATATCGTTTGGACCCCAAAAAATGGCGTTTGGACGCTTTTCCGGGCCGTTTTCTGGTGCGGACACAAAATCAATGAATCGAAAGTGCTATGCATAGTGTTTTTTGGATGCATCCATCCTCCCTCTCACATAAGGGTCACTTAGGACTCCGGATCGGGCCTAAGCATCAAGTGGGGCCTACGCCGCCGAATAAACGTTCAAGATCCTCTCGGAAAGGCATATATGCGTTTGCGCGTCATAAACAAACGGGTGCGATCATACCAGCACTAATGCACCGGATCCCATCAGAACTCCGCAGTTAAGCGTGCTTGGGCGAGAGTAGTACTAGGATGGGTGACCTCCCGGGAAGTCCTCGTGTTGCACCCCTTTTTTTGTTAATTTTTTTCTGTATTTCTATCTGAAACTTCCAAAATGCGTAGCTGGAAGACCGTGAGGCCGTATGCTGCCACCAACCACTTTTCGTGAAGCTCCAAAAGAGCTCTAGGCGTAAAATATCGTTTGGACCCCAAAAAATGGCGTTTGGACGCTTTTCCGGGCCGTTTTCTGGTGCGGACACAAAATCAATGAATCGAAAGTGCTATGCATAGTGTTTTTTGGATGCATCCATCCTCCCTCTCACATAAGGGTCACTTAGGACTCCGGATCGGGCCTAAGCATCAAGTGGGGCCTACGCCGCCGAATAAACGTTCAAGATCCTCTCGGAAAGGCATATATGCGTTTGCGCGTCATAAACAAACGGGTGCGATCATACCAGCACTAATGCACCGGATCCCATCAGAACTCCGCAGTTAAGCGTGCTTGGGCGAGAGTAGTACTAGGATGGGTGACCTCCCGGGAAGTCCTCGTGTTGCACCCCTTTTTTTGTTAATTTTTTTCTGTATTTCTATCTGAAACTTCCAAAATGCGTAGCTGGAAGACCGTGAGGCCGTATGCTGCCACCAACCACTTTTCGTGAAGCTCCAAAAGAGCTCTAGGCGTAAAATATCGTTTGGACCCCAAAAAATGGCGTTTGGACGCTTTTCCGGGCCGTTTTCTGGTGCGGACACAAAATCAATGAATCGAAAGTGCTATGCATAGTGTTTTTTGGATGCATCCATCCTCCCTCTCACATAAGGGTCACTTAGGACTCCGGATCGGGCCTAAGCATCAAGTGGGGCCTACGCCGCCGAATAAACGTTCAAGATCCTCTCGGAAAGGCATATATGCGTTTGCGCGTCATAAACAAACGGGTGCGATCATACCAGCACTAATGCACCGGATCCCATCAGAACTCCGCAGTTAAGCGTGCTTGGGCGAGAGTAGTACTAGGATGGGTGACCTCCCGGGAAGTCCTCGTGTTGCACCCCTTTTTTTGTTAATTTTTTTCTGTATTTCTATCTGAAACTTCCAAAATGCGTAGCTGGAAGACCGTGAGGCCGTATGCTGCCACCAACCACTTTTCGTGAAGCTCCAAAAGAGCTCTAGGCGTAAAATATCGTTTGGACCCCAAAAAATGGCGTTTGGACGCTTTTCCGGGCCGTTTTCTGGTGCGGACACAAAATCAATGAATCGAAAGTGCTATGCATAGTGTTTTTTGGATGCATCCATCCTCCCTCTCACATAAGGGTCACTTAGGACTCCGGATCGGGCCTAAGCATCAAGTGGGGCCTACGCCGCCGAATAAACGTTCAAGATCCTCTCGGAAAGGCATATATGCGTTTGCGCGTCATAAACAAACGGGTGCGATCATACCAGCACTAATGCACCGGATCCCATCAGAACTCCGCAGTAAGCGTGCTTGGGCGAGAGTAGTACTAGGATGGGTGACCTCCCGGGAAGTCCTCGTGTTGCACCCCTTTTTTTGTTAATTTTTTTCTGTATTTCTATCTGAAACTTCCAAAATGCGTAGCTGGAAGACCGTGAGGCCGTATGCTGCCACCAACCACTTTTCGTGAAGCTCCAAAAGAGCTCTAGGCGTAAAATATCGTTTGGACCCCAAAAAATGGCGTTTGGACGCTTTTCCGGGCCGTTTTCTGGTGCGGACACAAAATCAATGAATCGAAAGTGCTATGCATAGTGTTTTTTGGATGCATCCATCCTCCCTCTCACATAAGGGTCACTTAGGACTCCGGATCGGGCCTAAGCATCAAGTGGGGCCTACGCCGCCGAATAAACGTTCAAGATCCTCTCGGAAAGGCATATATGCGTTTGCGCGTCATAAACAAACTGGGTGCGATCATACCAGCACTAATGCACCGGATCCCATCAGAACTCCGCAGTTAAGCGTGCTTGGGCGAGAGTAGTACTAGGATGGGTGACCTCC